ATGAAATGCAGGCTATATTTAGATGATATGGGAAGTTTAAAGAAACAATCCTGCATATATCTGAGCAATGTTTTACATTGAAAGATGCTTAGATAAACAGACATAATAGGGTAGTAGCCTAAGTTCCCTGCAAGTGTGTCTGTGTGTCCAGGCAACTGTTTTGTGAACTCCTTTCAGAAGTTCAAAGCTCCCGCACAGGCAGGAAATGCAGGCTATATTTAGATGATATGGGAAGTTTAAAGAAACAATCCTGCATATATCTGAGCAATGTTTTACATTGAAAGATGCTTAGATAAACAGACATAATAGGGTAGTAGCCTAAGTTCCCTGCAAGTGTGTCTGTGTGTCCAGGCAACTGTTTTGTGAACTCCTTTCAGAAGTTCAAAGCTCCCGCACAGGCAGGAGCTCCGCTGAGCCAGCGAGGAACAGGGCATCATCTTGCTAAGCAAGCAGCTAAATGGAGCTGCTCCATGCTTAAAAGTGAGCAGCTCCAAGAGCAAGTAAAGAAGGAAGATAAGGAAAGAATAAGTGGCTGGGGGGAGGGGGAGGAGGAGAGAGGGAGGGAGTAATTGGCTGAGGGGGAATCAGAGGGGAGGGGAGTTTGGAGAATCCCATCTGTGTGAGGAGAGAGAGGCAGAAACTCAGCACTCTCAAGCCTCCTGGGAAGGGGGACTGGCTGCATAGGGTAGATAGGGGGAGGAGGGGGTGGGTGGGTGCTGGCTTTGGGGTGAGGTGGAGGAGGGAGGAGTTTATTTGTGCTGTGAGGTGGGGGATGTGTGGGTAATTTGTTTGTGCTTTATCAGGGAGTTAGGACAGGTCAGACTGCTGGTGCCTGCAAGTTTGAGAAGCTGTATTTTATCCCAGCCCCCAGTTGGGCTGAGGGGAACAGATTGCACAGGGATAGGTAGGGGAAAAGGGGTGAGTGGGTGCTGGCATCTGTGGAGTGAGGTGGAGGTGAGGGGCAGCTTGTTTGGGGTGTCCCTGACTCACTTGCTACAGTCCTCTCTGTCTGTCTAAAGGGTATGGGGGAAGAAGCAGGTTGCATGAAGTGGGTATGTGCTAGGACATTTGCATGATATATTTCAAACAAAGTTTACATAGTGATAGAGATGCAGCCGTGTTAGTCTGGTCTAGCTGAAACAGAAGACAGAACTATGTAGCACTTTAAAGACTAACAAGATGGTTTATTAGGTGATGAGCTTTCGTGGGCCAGACCCATTTCCTCAGATCAATATGTGGAAGAAAATCGGCACAACCATATATACCAAAGTGATACAATCAAAAAAATGAAATTGACAAAACGTGAAATTGACAAATCAAATTTTAGAACAGAGTGAGGGTGAGGGGGAAAGGTTAGTGTCTGTGAGGTAATGACATTAGGGGTGATAATTGGGGAAGCTATCTTTGTAATGGGTGAGATAATTAGAGTCTTTGTTTAAACCCATACATAAAGTGTCAAATTTAAGCATGAATGACAATTCTGAAGCTTCTCGTTGAAGTCTGGAGTTAAAGTCTCTTTGAAGCAATATGCATGTTTTAAGGTCATTGAGGGAATGGTCAGTCTGGCTGAAATGGCAAGCAACAGCTTTCTCTCTGTGAGAGAGTCTTATGTCTGTTTTGTATGCATTGATTCTTTGGCGAAGTGTCTGAGAAGTTTGTCCAATGTACATAGCAGTCTGTTTTTTCAGTTACAGAGTAACGCTTCTGAGTCTTTGAGTTGGTGACATACACAAGTTTCAAACTTTTATCTGTTTTTACAACATGGATCCTATACATTCCCCAGAAAAATTCTATAAGCTTTAGTGAATGCCTTTTATTCTCCTTTCTAGTGTTGGTAAATATTGTATTAGTCATGTTTTCCTTGCAAATACTATTTCTAATTGACTCATAGCTATGTGTGCATAATATGTGTTTTGGTGCGTTTATTAGCTTAAGCTGTTAGAAAGAATAAATATACTCTATGGGTAGTGTTAATCTTTTAAATTTGATTTCATCTTAACTATTGCAAATATTGCTCCTTGTTAACGATCGATCCCTTGTTTTAATATATTTTCTTCCACACAAATGGACTTCTTAAAATATATGTGTGCTTATTATTTGTACTGGTGGTGCACATCCCCACACTACCTCAGTATTGGTATTTAACATAAGAAATTTCAACCTGCCCAAAAGAAAATTCAATCCTCCCAAGGATATGTTATAGGGAACACAGGTAATAGCTGCAGTTACTGAAGAAATAGGTAAGTCAGGATTG